CATAATTATATATATATATATATATATATATAATCAAACAATATATGATGCATAACTAAATATCTCATGAGTCATAAATAAAATAAAATCATAATTAAAGAAAAAAAAGTGACATAACTTAAAGATGATAAATGGTAAGTATAGTAGAATTTCCCTTTTCCTTTTTTACTTGTTTGGCAATTGGATAAGTTAAAAAGTCATTATAAATTGTCACATTACTTTTTCTATATTTTTTACACATCTTTTTATAAAATATTAAAAATAACTAAAATAGTAACTTTCCAAACAATTAAGTGTTTGGATCAATTTATGCACACTTTGACTATTCAATGGACCCACGCAAAGCACCCCTCTACATGAATTAGGTAAATTTGACCAGAGTTTCAAAATATAACCTCATAGAATTGATAGTACCTAGTTAAAATTGAGCCTGAGGCATGGACGAAATACACCAACAAATCTCAGGCCAATCCCTTGGGATATAATAAAGTTGTACTTGTGTTGAATTTTTTTTATTTATTTATTTTTTGGAACTAGTACTGTGGTGTATCCTTGAAAGAAAAATGTTAAATTTTCATAGAATTTATTTTTAGAATGATGTAATAAAACATATTTGTAAATTATAATCTTAATAACGAGTCTTGTATTTTTAATTAGAGGGTCACAACAAGTCATATTATTCTGTTTATATAATTTGACACTATTTTTTTATTCAAATGTTGCTTTAATCAATTGAAACTATAGTTTAATTAGTCAAAACCTGTACACCTGACTAAAAGATCAAGGAGTTCAAGTCTTACCGCTGGCATAACTTCTTTTGTCTAAAGCTACAGCCTCCAGTGTATCCAAAAAAATATATAAATATTAAAATAAATTCATTATATCTCTTTGTAGTTTACTTCATATGCAATTTATCGTTGCCATTTAGAAATAAGTACATGACCCTCAGTAATTTGAGAACTAAAATACACCCTCTATAATGTTAATGCTTTAAGCAATAGACTAAATATTTTTGTACAAAAGTAATCTTATTACGTAAATCACATGCATTTTTGTTATTTTTTGGGATTAAAAATTGCACTTCAACCTTTTTGTACTTTATTTCAAATACGATTTATTTTTTAACATTTAAATATGAATACATAACTCCCTTATTATATCTAAACAAATATTCTAGACTTTCTATTAACTTAGACGACATATCTAAAATTATATACTTATATCTAAATAACAAGCAAGTAGGTTGCAGATAAAATAATTCGTAAAGAAGTAAAATGAACTTTGTCCAAACAATTATTGGAATGATGCTTTGTAAGGACAAGAGAAAGAGAGTCCATGGATGGGACAAAGGGTTGTTTTCTCCTCTTATGCTTGTTGTTTATGCAATTATTAAACACAATCAAAAAAGAGATAATGAAAAGAAAAGGAATGCGAAACCAGCTTGAAACTGGACACCATACATGGAGACAAAATCCCAACATTCCCATATGCTAGTATGCCGCTCCCTTCCATTCTACTCCACCATCCTCACCTTCCCACACACTATCATTCATACACATCATGCATAATAATGTATTTTTTTACATCTCTTTTATCTTCATATCCTCGACTTTTCACATAATGCCAAATGAGTCCCAGATGGGAAAATGACCACCTAGTCCCTACACCCCCACCTACTTATGATGGCATGTAAATCTTTAATTATTATTTGAGAAATATTATAAACTTATAATTTATAATTCGCAAATTTACTTATATTGATATGGTAATGAAATTGGATTTTACATGGTTAAATTCGTGACAAATCAAAGATTAATATGTAATTGTCATGTCAAATAAATTATTACATATAAAAATTGTATTTGTATGACATTCTTGGTAATGAGTCCCAGATGGGAAAATGACCACCTAGTCCCTACACCCCCACCTACTTATGATGGCATGTAAATCTTTAATTATTATTTGAGAAATATTATAAACTTATAATTTATAATACGCAAATTTACTTATATTGAGATGGTAATGGAATTGGATTTTACATGGTTAAATTCGTGACAAATCAAAAATTAATATGTAATTGTCATGTTAAATAAATTATTACATATAAAAATTGTATTTGTATGACATTCCTGGTAAAATTTAATCATTCTAGAGACTGAAAATTATATAATTTTTTTTTAAAAAAAAAAGAGACTAAAATAGATTGCTTATGTTTTTTAAAATAATATAATTATAATTATGAAATCAATCTTAATTTTTCATGGACGATAGGTAGATAAGATAATTATAGTGAAGTCCGTGATCGGCGCAACGAGAGCCCAACTAACATTTGCGTACTAGAGATATAATATGTAATCTAAAGATAAATAAAATCTTTATCATGTTACATAAAAATATAAAGGAGATAAACAGTAGTAACTCTTTACAGACTATTATAGACTATTCTCAAAGCAAAAAGTTGCCAGACTGTGTGATTGTTGGCCTTCACATGTACCCAAAAAGCAAATAAAATAAAATAAAACAAAACTATTTTATTTTATTTTATTGGCCTTCACATGTACCCAAAAAGCAAATAAAATAAAATAAAATAAAACAAAACTATTTTATTTTATTTTATTTTTTAAAAGAAAGAAGATGCAGAAAGACAAAACATACATTAGGAGTAATGTTTGCCTCCAATTCTTAAGCAGATTAGACAGTATTGTTCGGCTTATGGAAGCCCAACACGTGTCCCGTTTTAATAATTTGAACCGTTCAATATGTAGAACTCGTCGAGTACTATATGCCTGTAAAAAAATCATGTTGATCGGATATCGATAACTCTCTCATCTTAGGAGTGTTTTGTCAACCGTTAATTCGTTCACCGTCTATTTTTTTATATACAAAACTGATTTGATCACATAATTATCGATATCCGATCAACATATTTTTTCACAGTCATATAGTACTCAACAAGTTCTACACATTGAACGGTTCAAATTATCAAAACGGAACTTGTAATGGGCCCTTATAGACCGAACAGTACCGTCCAATCCGATTAAAGACCGGAGGAAAGGTGCTCCCATTAAGTATCATGAAAAAAAAATTTCATCAAAGATTTTTTACCATTAGATTACACATATAAAAAAATATCACACACCAATCAAAGAATAAAAACTCTCCATAAAAAATTTTATGATATTTTTTTTTATGAACCCAATATTATTTATTAAAAATATGCTCAATTGAGTCAGCAAAATTCTCTTAGAGAGCCCAACCCTTCAAATAAAGTCCCCAATGTCACAAGATCCAACACCATGGAAGAACACAAAAACTCCACTGAAACCATAATCATGGCCTCACTCTCTTCCCTACCCCCTCCCCAACTCTCAAATCTGAACCATCCACCCTCTTCCACCACCACCGCCGCCGCCTCTCCTCCCTCCTCTCCTCCCCCACCCTCTTCTCCCTCACTCTCCACCACCTCCACTCCCTCTCCCTCCACCACAAATCCCTCCTCATCGCCCGCCACCTCCTCTCCACCCTCTCTCTCCTCACCCACTTTCTCAATCCCACCACCACTCCACCACCACCCACCACCACCAATCTCCGCCACCTTGACTCCGTCCTCCTCCTCCTCCTCCTCTGCGAACTCCGCCACCAAAACCCACAAGCCCTCCAATCCCCGCCGTCTAAATGGCGTCTCATCCTCTCTAAATACGTCTCCGATACCATGTTAATGATGTCGATGAATGGTACAACTTTGATTCACTTCGTTGAGGTGGTTGTCAACTGTCAGAGATTTATTGGTGTGATGGGTTGTGGAGGGAAGGCGGGGAGAGAGATGGCGGCATCGGTGGCAGCGGTGGTGGCGCTGCCGTCGGTGGAAGTGAGGGGAGGGGGGAGAGAGTGTGTGATATGTAAAGAAGAGATGAGTGAAGGTAGAGATGTGTGTGAATTGCCATGTCATCACTTGTTTCATTGGATGTGTATATTGCCTTGGTTGAAGAAAAGGAACACGTGTCCTTGTTGTCGGCACCGGCTTCCTACTGATGACGTGTCCGGCGAGATCGAACGGCTGTGGGAGGTTGTTGTCAAGGTGGGCAGAAGTGAGTTGTATGGAGACTGTACGTGACGTGGCTACAATTCGGTGATCTCGTGGGTGACACGTGTCATGATCAGTAAGGTGCATCACAAAGAATCTGTTTGTGAAATACACGTGTCGTGATCAGATGGGGTGAACAGCTCTTGATCATGAGTTCAAGGGTAGGATGTGAATAGATATACAATAATTATATATTTCTATTTTAGATTTCTAATTTTGGACTCCTAATTACGTAATAAATATTTATTGGATAATTTTTATATTTTAATAGATTTTTCAGGTAGTGTGGCTTACAACCTATTACTTGAGATTGATTTGAAGGTCCAAAATTAAAGATTTAAAACATTTTCATAGATATAATGTCAATCGCTACTTTGTCTTGTTTTGTGCTTAATTTCATTGTATTTGAGTTGGGAGGAATAAGACGAGGGACATGTTATTGTCTATTGCGGCATGAAATGAATGGTAATGATAATGAGTTGTAGGCTTGTGTAGCATCACAAATTGTTGATAAAGAATAGTCGATGTTGGCTTGTTTTTTGTGGTTAATGTTAGGGCTTGGATTGACACAAAATAAATATTCTGTAATGATTTGTTAGACAATGATTATTTGTTCTTTTTTCTTATGCCTTAGTTCTCTGTCACAAAATTAGATTACAAAGATGTAAAATTAGATAACAAATATGTAATGTGTAGTGGAGAGTAAATTTAATGACATAAAATCGGTACTCTTTTGTAGGAGCAATGATTGAGACCCCCACAAAAATTTCGCCCCCACAACCCTTACATCATCCTATGTAGAGAGAGGGAAAAAAACACACACACACACGGACCAATCACACATTTGGCAGTCATGGATAGGGATGGCAATGGATAACTTACCCTGTGGGTATCCATGGAGACCCAACCCAAATACATGGGTTTTCCCCTCTTTTTCTTATCCATTGGGTAGGGTAGGTGATATTCTTTAAATATCTACAGGGGATGGGTTGGGGATGGGTACCCACTAATTTCCCCATATGTTTTTATTTTTTATTTTTTATTTTTTTTTTATTTTTTAAGATTCACAACTAAAACTAAATATATATTCAATCTTTCTTCTTTTTTTTATTTATTTATTTTTTCAAGTTCACAACCTTTTTTTTTTTTTTTTTTTTTTTTTTGGCAGAAGTGAGTTGTATGGAGACTGTACGTGACGTGGCTACAATTCGGTGATCTCGTGGGTGACACGTGTCATGATCAGTAAGGTGCATCACAAAGAATCTGTTTGTGAAATACACGTGTCGTGATCAGATGGGGTGAACAGCTCTTGATCATGAGTTCAAGGGTAGGATGTGAATAGATATACAATAATTATATATTTCTAGTTTAGAGATTTCTAATTTTGGACTCCTAATTACGTAATAAATATTTATTGGATAATTTTATATTTTAATAGATTTTTCAGGTAGTGTGGCTTACAACACATTACTTGAGATTGATTTGAAGGTCCAAAATTAAAGATCTAAACATTTTCATAGATATAATGTCAATCACTGATTTGTCTTGTTTTGTGCTTAATTTCATTGTATTTGAGTTGGGAGGAATAAGACGAGGGACATGTTATTGACTATTGCGGTATGAAATGAATGGTTATGATAATGAGTTGTAGGCTTGTGTAGCATCACAAATTGTTGATAAAGAATAGTCGGTGTTGGCTTGTTTTTTGTGGTTAATGTTAGGGCTTGGATTGATGCAAAATAAATATTCTGTAACGATTTGTTAGACAATGATTATTTGTTCTTTTATCTTATGCCTTAGTTCTCTCTATCACAAAATTAGATTACAAAGATGTAACATTAGATTACAAAAATGTAATGTGTAGTGGAGAGTAAATTTAATAACATCAAATCGGTACTTTTTTGTAGGAGCAACGATTGAGACCCCTACAAAAATTTCACTCCCACAACCCTCACATCATCCTATGTAGAGAGAGAGGGGGAAAAAAACACACACACACGGACCAATCACACATTTGGCAGTCATGGAGGTCCCCAAATTGGGGTCCCAAGCTTTTTTCATTTTGTATATTTTACCTATACCTTACGTTTCTGTTATTTTCACACTTCTAATGCTTGAGTTCGTTTGAAACCACTTGTTTTACATTTTCCGCCAATAAGCACTTTGTTACACTCTTTTCCTTCTAGTCCTCTAAAGAGATGCTTATGGCATATTGTTGGAACTGTAGTAGAATAAAAGGAACAATAAGAATATAAATGATAGTAGTTAATTATAAATGAAATGGGTAATAGACATTGAACCATAATAGGGGCAACCATCAATCCAGACTGTTTGATAGTAATTCCTGTTGAGGACCACAAACAAAGGAATTTAAGCTTCTTATTAGTCACATTCACAAGTTTGTATTGTATGTGTTGCCTTCTTGAGGACCACAAAACCAAATCAGTTTTGATTAGGATTCAAGGCCCAATTCAAGATTGTTATTTTGTCTCATTCACAACATGCAGATCTGCTCAAGCAAGCCCTCTCTTTGCATAACGAGCACGAGTAGCCCAGCAGTTAAAGGGACGATTTGTAAATTTGGATGTGTTAAGTTTGATTCTTACTATTATCTTTCAAACTTAACTGATATACGAGATTGGCAAATGATTGCGTGCGTGTATTTGAAGTTTACTTTACAGGAATGGATCCAATGTAATCCTAGCAAATCCATTTGTAAAATGATAAAATGGATTCCATTAGGCTAAGATAGTGTTTGGTTTGTTGGAATGATATCTGGAATGAAATGATAATTCCATTAGAATATACATTTCCATGTTTGATTTGATAAAAATGAAATAACCATCCACCAATCTAGGAGAATGCTCAATGGCCATTTCATTGGAAGATCAAGAAATAGTCATTCTATTACTACCCAAAATCATTTCAGTAAACCAAACACTTAAAAGTAAGGTTCATCACTAGTTTTGTGGATAATTTAGTCTCCTGCCATTTTTGGCTGCTTTTAAACATGAGGCACATGAAGAGTCTATAACAGTAGAGTGATCAAGAAAGTGCAGAGCAACACAGAAGGTTCAATTAATGGTAAAAGATGTTATTGAAGTTTGACTATGTGATTTTTGTTGTGGAATGAAACCCCCCACACTAACTGGCAATACCATAGACCTAAGCTAATTTTATTCAATTTTTTATATCCTAATATTGTGTTTGGTTGGGGGATTTGGAAAGGAAAAGGGAAAATGTGTGTGAAATTAGATGAAATATAGGTATGTTTTATTCGCATTTCATCTATCTTTTTCATTTCTCTTCCAAATCCCTACTCAAATTCCTTACCCAAACAGAGTGTAAGAGAGTTTCATATAAATAAATTTACAGTGTAGTCGGTGCTTGGAAAACTGAGATCAATTGCAGCCAAGTGAGACCCAGTTGTGCAATGTTATGGTCCTACTTACCCTGAAACATTCCAATATTAGATCAAATATTCTGTTTATGCTTGCAAATTAACCCAACTTAGTGTGACCAACTTTATTCACTGTCAAATTTCCCTAGCGTTACTTTTAGAGCCACTTACCAATCAGTCCTATTAACTAAACTTATTTATCTACAGGTCCTAACTGACAAATTTATCACAATAAAAACAAGAGACTGATTAATTATCACTATAAATTTATTCATAAAAATAAGAGACAAATTTATCAATAGGACTTAATGGGTAAGTCTAAAAAATAAGACTTATTGGTAATTTCCCCTACCTTTTATTGCATTATTGCTCACTTCTTATGCTCCATTTGTTTTGACAGAGAATATCTTCTAAGAAAAAACTTTTTCCATAAATTGTTTTTCATAGAAAATATTTTCTTATGTTTAGTTAGTTCCTTAAAACTAATGTATTAGTAATTATTGGTTATAGTGGTAGTGGGAGTTGTAGTAGCGGCAGGGTGGTGGCATGGAAGAGTTGGTGGTGAAAGTGATAGTGGTGGTGGTAGTATCGTGATAATGATAAGGCTACTCCCCATAAAGTATTTTTTACTTTTAAAAAGTGAAAAATATATGTAAAGAAACATTTTTTTCATTGACCATAAATATTTTCTCTGTGTCCAAACAAATGGAGTGCTTATATTGCTTTGGATTTTTTCATTCATCATTCTCGTCACTTAGCTTCTTGTAGTTTATAGAAAGAAGAACCCTACACACACAGCAAATTACAAAAAAAATACATCAAAAATGTATAAGGCAAAACGATAACCTTTTTAAAGATATTTTCATTTGCTAGTATCCTCTTAGAGGTGAGCTCATCATACTCTCATGCATGTAATTAATACTTGTATATTATTTAATTCTGTGTATGTAAATTTTGGGTTAATTATAAAAATAAAAAAAAAAGTCAAGGTTTTGTGTGTTTTTCAATTTAAATTTCAAAGTTTCAATTTCGACAAATCAAACTCTGAAGTTTCATCTGTGTTTCAATGTGAACCCTCCGTTCATTTCCATCTCACTTTATCTTCTTCCTTCTTTCATATTCAAATCCACATGTTCAAACCCTTGTATTTCCTTCGTCGTAACTCTGTTTCACCTCATTTTTGTATCGTTGGATTCACCCCACGACCTAATTTTCATTATATCCCTCATATGCTTTATTCCATTTCTTTTTGCGTGCCATCGAAGCTCCGAAAGTTGGCCAAATTTTTTTTCTCTCTTCGGGCAAAATTTTAGATTCAAACCCACACATTCCAACCTTTCTATCACCCCATCATAACTCCATTTTGCCTCATTTTTGCGTCGTTAGATTCACCTCATGGCCTAGCTTTCATTTCAGCTCTTATATGCTTTGTTCCACCTCTTTTTGTATGCCGTCAGAGCTCCGAAAGTTAGCTAAAAATAAGATTTTTCTCTTCTTTTTTTTTTCCCTCCACCTCCTCTTCGTCCTCCACGGCTCCTCCTCCTAGCTTGCTACTGCTGCTGCTTTTTTATCATCATTATCTGTAAGATGAGGTAGTGGTGATAATGGAGACGGTGTTGTCGAGTGGTGATAGGTATACAACTATCCACAAAAATAAAAAAACCAATGGATCGGTGAGCATGTCAAGGCATCAAGGCACCTTGGTTTCTAATCAAGCATCATCCATTGCATCTCCGCTATGAAGAATATTGTCGTGATAGTAATAAGAAAAAAAAAAAAGAGAAAAAAAAATTCTTATTTTTAGCCAATTTTCAAATCTCCGATAGTATGCAAATAGAGGTGGAATAAGGCGTATGAGGGATAGAATAAAAACTAAGACATGAGTTGAATCCAACGACACAAAAATGAGGTGAAACGGAGTTACGACGAGGGAGATATAAGGGCCTGAACATGTGTGTCACGACTCAAACACACCCCTATAGGTTTAGTGTCATGACCGGCCAGTAATCATAGATTACCTACGACCTCTAAACAAAAATCCATTTAAAATAAAGTACGGGGCTTAGCAAAAATATAATACAACATATATATAAGTTATCCATCGAGCCGTGCGTACATGGAAAAAGCAAACTTTGTACCATAAGCAAAC